TAAAAGTTATATAAACTTACTTAAAATTTTTGTGTTTTTTTACATAATTTAATAGTTAATCAAAATAATAACAATTCCACATTCCACAATGTACTCGTATCTGACTTTCCTTATCTAAAACCAATTTTTTTTTAAACCTAAGGGTAAAAAGCAATTTAATGTGTTGGAAACTGTCTAATTTATCAGTTTCTTCTGATTTGACCAATTTTAAAATATCTATTTAATTAGCTTTAGTAATTTTTTAATGACACGAAGTGTATTTCTATAATTCTAGATAAAAAACAAATTACTAAATCAAATGTTATAAATACAATCAGGACGGGTCAGGTCGTGATAGATCATATCAGCGGTTTTAATAATATACAGAGTGACATAAATAAACAAATATTTTTTTAAAAATAAAAAACAATTTTATTTTAATGTTTCCATGACAACAGACTGGATATAACAGTCGATAAATACAAAGTAGGCTTTTGTAAAGTGACAGCCAATTGACATCCATGTATTTTAAAATAATAAAAGTCAACATTTTTTACTAACTACAAAAATATATGGGCTAGCACTTTTTACAAAATAAAAAAAATGTACAAAATTAGCATGACTTAAATTACATATTTGATCACAGTAGGCTGTGAATTTTAATTTAGGTTTGCAAAACTAAAAAAATAAAAGAAATAAGTCTAAAATTTTCTGGCTCTATAATTTTCTGTGTTTGTCAATTTAATTTTAAAATCACGGACCACCAAGATCAGCAGTTTAATTGTAGGCACAGTATTACCAACTTTTGCACTATTTTCTTATTTGAACCTAATAAAGATATAGCCAATTTTTATAAAATTGAATATACTCGTTTTCATATTAGTGTCGTCGTTGAAAGGGATCATTTTAAGGTGGCAACCATGCAAAAGTTCAAACAATCCTAACCTCAATCTTCCCTCCAAATTATATAATTATGCACCTCAGGTAGCAAAAAATAATAAAAATTAACAATTAACATAGGGTAGCAAACATAATTTTTTTTGTCATTATTGATGTGATTAAATTTGTTCTGAATTACATTATGTATAATGACACTTTTTGTGTGAATTAGCCTTTAAGTTAAAGATGCATTTAGACTTCTACAACCTACTTGATACACATTAATGTGAAAAAAAGTATAAATGATGAGTCCAAATACAATCAAATTAGAATAAAATTTGTATTAATGTCACCCTGTACAGTGTACACAATGATTCAGCTAAGATTAATGTCTAACATCGCAATATAATTGGCGGTTTCATCCATTTTAATTTTTTTGTAATAAAATCAAATAGTATACGCGACTTGTATGAACGACTGAAACAAAAATTAATTTGTTAAATTTTTTGAGACATTCTGTAGATTTTCTAGAATTTGATGACTCAACACATTAAACCCCTTCCAGCTTCAAGGCGAATTTCCACGTGTTTTGAGAGCTTTCCCTTGTCACGTAATGGCCATTTTCCGCCCGTGCTTCCCCAGCCTTCGCATCGCACACTTGACCAGTCCCAATTACCGCAAAAAAGTAATTACAGCCGTAATTTCATACCGCAAAGTACCGGTACTTCGTCCTTGTTATGGCGAAAAACAAGAAGTTGGCGTAAGTGCGGTTTGGCGTAACCTTGCACCTGCCCCGGGGTGATGGGTTCCGCTGTACTCACCATTGAGAAGACCCCCGAAATGGTCCACACGAGGAGGGAGACGTTGACGCTGCCGGTGTGCATGAGGACCCCCGCCGGCGAGACGAAGATCCCGGAGCCGATGATGGAGCCCACGATGACGGTGATGCCGTTGACGAGGGTCATCTTGGGCTTGAGGGCGATCTCCTCGTCGGGCTTGCTGGCACCCTCCATGGCCGAGAGCTTGGTTGTGAGTGCGCCAACCCCGCGTCGTCTTTGCGACTCACTCGCGGAGGAGAACGATCAATATCTGGACCATTCAGCCTCCCTACTATGCCCTAATACCACGACGCGTGGACATTTCGAAAATTCGAGCGTTATGAAACGATGTTTACCAAAACACGAGAGATAAAGCAAGAAGTGAGACGTCACGGGTTTGTTATCACCGATTTTTGGATCTTTGACTCGATTAATTGTGGTGGAGAGTTGGAGTGGGTTGAGTCGACCAAAATGCGACGAGATTATTTGAGGAAGTGGCTATTTATTCATTTGGTGCGCCTACAAAGATGGGTTAATTGAGCCTTTTAAAATGCAAGATAAGTTATTTGCATCACAATGTGGACTATGACGTGATTGTCGACAATTTTTTTTCTCAATGGACATTCAGAAATGATTAATTTTTTTTTTGGCAATCTGCTTATAGCTAAAATACTTCGGAATTTATGGTTTCTTATTCTTATTCATTAAAACCGGCAGTTTTCGAGTAATGAACAGAAATCGTTTTAAAAATTGTAAAACCATACTTCCAATTGACTGGGTTTTTAAGATTCTTAAGTTTTTTCGAGCTTGTTTCAAATCGTAATAGTTTTGAAGTTATAGTCGAATCTACATTTTCAATATTTTTGCCTTTATCAAATATTTTTACAACAACTATTTATCGTAGAACACTGATCTTTTTCGTATATGATAGAAAATTAAATTTTCTATTCAACGGTACCCAATATAAAAGGTTATCACCAATAAGTCCGGAGTTATTGTCAATAGACCGCTCCGGGTGCCAAAAGTCGACCAAAATCTCGTTAAAAATTAAAAAAAATCAACTTTAAAATTAATCGATATAACGTTTTATACATTTCCAGACGTCTTAAAGACTCAAAAAAGTGCATAAAACGTTATTGGGTCAAGTTTAAAAAATTACGAATTTTTTGAATTGATGAAAATCGTAAAAATAGTTAATTTACCTTAAATCGTAAAAACGCTTAAAATATGGTTTTCTAGACATAAAATTACGCGCTGGAGACGATGCAACAAGTTAAAATACTCTACGATGCATAGTTTTTAAGATATTGAGTAATAAATTTAAGAATAAGGCTAAAAGCATTCAATTTTGACCAAAAAATCAAAAATTGTTGGTTCTTATGAAAAATTAGTACCGTATATAAAATTAACCGTAGAACTCGCCTGTATAAACCGTTTTGACCTAGGACTCATAGTTTTTGAGATTTAATTTTTTTATGAAATAAACTAGAAATGGCTTTGTACCCGGAACCATAACCCGGAGTGACATTCGGTTTGCGCCATTAAATAGATAATTTCATGTAGATTTTAATGGTTTTTAACTTTTTGCTCTAAGTCTTATAGTTTCACAATTTTGAGAATTTTTACTTTTTGAAATTATTACATTTAGAGCAAAAAGCTCAACACCATCGTAATAAGCGTAAAAATATCTATCGATTGACACTAAAGCCAAGTCATGCCGTATGAATAAAATTAAGTAAATGCTTCTACTTGTAATAGTAAAAGGTAGACATAATAAGATTTTATGAGAAAGAAAGAGACAAAACTATAGTAAAAGCTTTTTCTACATTTTATTCATATTACCCAACATCTCGCAAAAAAATCAATTTTTATACGTCGATTACGGCGAAACTAGTGGAAATAGCGAAAAATGCTTGGCAAATTCGTAATCAGCGCTTCAAAATCTATCGGATAAGATAGGTTTAAATTGAACCTGAGACATATTCAAAAACACTAGTGTTAACAAATTTTTCCTTTTTTTTTTATTATGTAAATTGCATCAAAACTGTACCTCAATGATATAATATTTTGTCCTAGACATATGTCAAATGTTCCGGAAAATCGATTGGCGTCAAAAAAAACTGCAAAATTTGTAATAGTTTTGAAGTTATAGTCGATATTTTTGACTTTTTCAGAAATTTATTTAACTATTTATCGTAGAATACTGATTTTTATACAGGGTGATTCTTAAATAGACCGACAAAATTTTATCCTTGGTAGTATCAAATGAGACCATGCTGGAAAAAATATTTAAAAAATTCTTTGTTTAACCGTTCTCCAAATAAAATTTATTAAAGTGATTTTCGAAGTAAAGCGTACGCCACTGATGTGTTCGTAAATAGTATTAGCACAGGTAGTAGAAACCATGGTAATTAATTTGATAAAAATGTACTTGATATTTCAACAATTCATGAACGCCGTAAGTGACACGGATCAAGGGGGTTTTGCCCCTAAAAGATATAAACGTAAAAATCGTACAGTTTGCCTCCATTTATCGTTGGGAAGCTGTAATAAAATTTTGTCGGTCTATTTAAGAATCACCCGGTATATATGATAGAAAATTAAATTTGCTTTCTAACGGTACATTAGCGACTTATATGTATTAATAAGTCCGGTGTTATTCGCAATAGACCGCTCCGGGTGCCAAAAAACGACCAAAATCTCGACAAATATCAAAAAAAAATTCAACTTTAAAATTGATCCATTTAACGTTTTCTACATTTCTGGAGGTCTTAAAGACTCAAAAAGTGCATAAAACGTTATGGGGTCAAGTTTAAAAAATTACGAATTTTTTGAAGGTAAGCGGTAGTAAAATTTAAAAATCGAAAATTTTTAAATCGCACCGGGCAATTCAAGGTTACAATAATTCGCATAAAGCTAAAAATTGGTACGAATGTTGGACACCCCATTATAAAAGAAAAGTGAAAAGTCCCCATCGATCCCACATCTGCAAAAAAAGTTATTCAAGGTCAAATGTTGCGAAAATGGGATTTTTGCATTTTTCAGCTAAACGGTAAGTTTCATCATAAAAATACATCTGACAAAAATTGTAGAGCATGCAATTCTCTATAAAAATTGTTCTTATACTTTTTTTCCTAAGAGTTACCATTTCTGAGATATAGCGATTTAAAAAGTTGTGTTCTTCATAATATGCACACGTTCCCACACCATCTGTGAGGTAGTGTACTTGGCGCGTTTTTTAACGTGGTTTCCTCTCTAGGCCTATTTCACGATCTATTGAGGTTCTGTTTAATTAGGAAATATTGTATCAAATGACAAATGATACTATTGGAGATGACAAAAAAAAAACAAAATTATGAGTAACATAGAGGAAAATTATTCGTCCGATGGTATTTCAAGTGTACTGTCTTCTTCGTCTTCTTCTTTTCTTTTTTCTTCTTCTTCTTCATCTTCTGCTGGGTACAAGTAAATTGTTCTAGGAGCGATGAATCAGATGTCTCCTCGCAGATAAAACAACAATTTTTAAATTGTTTGAAAAACAAGACTTAATTAATTGTGCTGAAGTTTTTCAAAATGGTAATTCTACTCCACAAGTTGTAATCATCAACGGAATTCGCTTTCTTCTTTCTATGCACGGAGCCTCTAAAAAAATTACCTGCTTAGATAAGTTTCAATACTTATCTTTTTTAAAAAATACTCCTAACAAAAAACGAGTGCAATTGGCATGTCTTCCCCCAACCTCTGCTTCTGCTCAGCAACATCTATTTCGGGTTTATTATCAAGCTCAAATGTGGCTTGGTAATAAACTGGACCCAGAAGACTGGGGTTGGAAATTAGTTAATAATACATTGGGACCAATTCAGACTTTATTCCCACCTGCACCGGAAAAACTCCTCAATACAATTTTTTGCAATTGCAAAAAGGGGTGTAATGCCAAATGGTTGCAAAAAAGTTGGATTGTTTTGTTCATTAGCATGTACCAGCTGTCAAGGCTAATCATGCTCCAATGTTGAATCGTTATTAGGAGAAGATGCTTACAATATCTGCGAGGAGACATCTGAGTCATCGCTTTTCGAACAAATTACTTGTACCCAGCAGGAACTTGAAGAAGAAGAAGAATAAGAAGAATAAAGAAAAGAAGAAGACGAAGAAGACAGTACACTTGAAATACCATCAGATAACTATCAATCAGACGAATAATTTCCCTCTATACAGGGTGTTTACAATCTTGAGGTTGAAATTTAAATGAGATGATATTCACGGTAGAAGAAAACTAATACGCTATATAAAACAAAAATTCACGTTGTTAAAGGAAATTATGCATTTTTCGCTATTTGTTTGAAAACTGCTGATTCAGCTGCAACAATGGTAATTAGTATCATTACCTTGTGTTTCACCGTAAATCATAATCACGACAACCAATTTATTATTTTAATGTTTTGCCATACATGTTTATAAATTTGGAGAAAAATTAAGAAAAACGAATCAAACCTATTGGAAACCATTCGCTGAAAAGAGATTAAACAAAAGATCTTCGAATTTTGATAAAAACTAAAGCAAAAGCAAATCAAATGATGACAGTGTCAAAACTATGAAGTGACTTTTCTCTTTCATTGTCATGGACAAGGAAATAATTCCAGTGACCCTCAAACCATGTACCAATATTTTGGAGTTAAATAACATTCTTGATAATAACAATTGTGTGAGTTTTTTTTCGCGGTTACAGTGTTTCTGTACTCTTCTATTATTAGGTCAATTTTCAACTCCAAGACTGTAAACATCCTGTATTACTCATAATTTACATCGCTTTTATCATCTCCAATAGTACCATTTGTCATTTGATACAATATTTTTTAATTAAACAGAACCTCAATAGATCGTGAAAGAGGCCTACCGGGGAAACTACATTAAAAATACGCGCCAAGTACACTACCTCACAGGTGGCCTGGAAACGTGTGCATATTATGAAGAACACAACTTTTTAAATCGCTATATCTCAGAAATGGTAACTCTTAGGAAAAAAAGTATAAGAATAATTTTTATAGAGAATTGCATGCTCTACAATTTTTATCTGATGTATTTTTATGATAAAACTTACCGTTTCGCTGAAAAATGCAAAAAACCCATTTTCGCAACCTTTGACCTTGAATAACTTTTTTTGCAGATGTGGGATCGATGGGGACTTTTCACATTTCTTTTATAATAGAGTTCCCAACATTCAAACCAATTTACAGCTTTATGCGAATTATTGTAACCTGACCCCTATTTTTTAAGCTAATTTGCCCGGACTAACCCCTACAGGTTATAAAGACCCAGAAAAATTCATGAAACTTTCCTAAATAGAAATTTAAAAAAATGTGTGGAATTTCGCAAAAATTGTAAAAATGGTAAAAAAACTTCAATTTCCAAATTATTTCAAAAATCTTTTATTACAATTGTAAATAAAATTAGTTAATTAATTAATCACTACATCGGAATTAGTTGCAATCCAATCCAAGAAACTGGTAACTCTGGAAAATCCAGAAGGGTAACCTGGCAAGCACCACATAACTCCAAACGAAACAACCCCAATTTGCACTCCATCGACAATAAGAGGACCCCCAGAGTCCCCATCACAAGACCCACTATCACTACCCCCTGACGTACACAAAATCGAATCAACAAACTCTTCATCGAACTGATTTCCACAATCAATATTTGTAATAACATTAACATCGACGTAACGCAAAACTTCTGAAAGATCACCAAAACCGTTGGTCAATCCCCAGCCACTAATCCTCGCAGTGGTGCCAACAAACGTGTTGTTAACATCAATCTTACTAGGCAAGGCCACAATTTTAACAGAATCAGTAAGATTGACAGGTTGTGGAAGTTTGATAACAGCAATGTCATTAACAATAAGCCCTCCATCGTATTCTTCATGAACTTTGATCTCTTTGCTGGTCATTTTGACTTGAGTGTCTTCAGTTTCGAAGACTTTGTGGGCTCCGAGAGTCACCTGGACTTCAGTAGCCCTAAAACCCCGATTATTATTGTTTCACATCAATTAAAAACTCACCCATCGCCACAATGACCGGCAGTCAACACGTAGTTTTGCGAAATGAGGGAACCCCCGCAGTACCAAGCTTCACCATCGTTGTAAATTTCGAGAAATGTTTGAAAAGGGATGGAGTGGGGGAGGGCTTCGTGGCCTCCGATGATTCTGGGGTTGGGTTTGTGCTTGATTTCGCCGACTGGGGGTTTGTACAAATTGCGATAATGCAATTTGGTTGTCTGGAAAATCAATTAAGTAAAATTAAAAAAAATCCGAAATACTCACTCCAGGAAAGGCAGCAGCCAATGCAGTAATGGTCAAAAGAAAGATGATGGTCCTCATATTGAATTTCGTTTTGTGGTAATTGATCAAAGTTTTGGTTTTTATAGTGAAACAGATCTCTTATCACGGCACGTTTTCCTGATATTGGATTTGTTTTTCCATGGATTTGCATTATCTTGGCTCAGGGAGACTAAGAGTTAAGTAGGTGCCACTTAAAGTCAAAAAATTTTTACTGTTAATTAAAATAACAAAGTGGTTCAAAACAGATTAATGTTATAAAAATTACACAATAAAAGAAATAAATCAAAATACGACTCTGATCGTTATAATAAGTTGAAGTTTTCTCATTTAAATGAAACACACAATATCAGATCAGTTTATCTCGTCACGAAAAACTACTTGTAAAGTAGTAAAGAATTACAATACAAGTAGCCATAAAGGTATTATCTTAATTTAGAATTCTATAAGTTATAAAAATAAAGGATTAGTCATAGAGCAAAGATTCTAGAGATATAGAAAATAAAATAAAATAACACTTTTGGTTTTTCAAATCGGTACAGAAAAATGACTTTAAAGTTTCATAAGTTTCACTGATCTAAATCACTGAAACAAGGATTTTCCGACCAGTTTTAATGAGATTTTTTTTTAATTAAGTGATTTTCTGTCCCTAAAATTCGTTCAAAATTGGCTGAAATTACGAAACTCAAGCTCAAAACGACAATTTTTGCCTTTTTTTAGCAAAATCTCTTGAATTAAGTGAGTTTCTGACATAAAAATTAACTAAGTCACTCAGAATTGGCGCAAATATGGTTATTTTTAGTAAAATTTATTAAAGTATGTTTCTTTCTGTCTTCAAAAAAAAAAACAAATTTTTTCAAATTGCTGAAATTGCGGCCCAATACGATGTTTTTTAGGTTTTTTTTTAGCAAAGTTAGTGAATTTTTAACTTACGAGCTAAATATATACAGGGTATTAAAAAAGATTGTAAAAAATTTTAGAAGGTAATAGTATGAACAAAAACAACCAAAAAATTATTAATAAATATGGGTCCGCAACGTTTTCGGAAATATCGAAAATTATTTGTTTTTTGAAATATTTATTTGCAGTTTATTTAAAGATTCTAAATATTTTCACACATGAAATCTCCGAAACTGCTACATTGTGGACTTATTTGTTTATTTTGGTTCATAGTATTATGTACTTTCTTAAATACAATCTTTTTTTAACACCCTGTATCTCTAGAGGGGACCTAAGAGATCCGAGGACATTTTTATTCGAGGAATTTACGATGTTTATTCCAGCGATGCATACAAGACTTCTAACAGAATAAATTGGGTAATAATTTAAAAAAATGATAAATTTGTCAAATAATTTGTCAAAATAGTCAGTTCATTTAATTACAATTTTATGAGTAGAACAGTATTGAGATGCTTGTCAAAAAAACACTTCAAAAATTCAATTGAGTACTTAAATTTCAGTTTATTTTAAGAGTAAAAATCAGTTAAAAATGAAGGAATAAAGCGTTAGTTTATTCCCTGTTGGAAGGAAATAATATATAACAAAGGTAATCCAAGTATCATTTTTGAGTACTTGATGAAAAAACTTTACTTAAATATAGTGTAGGTAATATCACTTTATACATAACAAAATGTTTAAAAAAAATATATTGAAATCTGCTAAATGGCCAAGATTTGAGTTCATTGTTTTATAATCACCTAAATAGTGCCAAATTTTACAAATTTAAGAAATCAACAGAAAATCAAAACACACAGAGAGATATTTCTTTACTTTTGGTGTGTTTTATGTCGCATTTTTAAACAATTTTTTTCATTCTTTTTTTTTCACGTTTTTAATAGTATTTGTACCCAAATATTACACATTATTATTAAGGCACTAGGAATTTTTAGAAAAAGTTTTATTCTCATAGAAACAAATACAAAATTAATCATTTTTTAGTTGATAACAACATCGGAGTTAGTTGCGATCCAGTCCAAAAAGCTGGTAACTCTGGAGAAAGCTGAGGGGTATCCAGGCAAGCAGTACCTGATTCCAAAAGAGACAACACCAATTTGCGTGTCATTGATAGCAAGAGGACCACCAGAATCGCCACTGCAGGATCCAGTATCTTCATCACCGGACGTGCACACGATCGAATCTTGAAGCTCACCGAAAGCTTCTTCACATTTGGTATTACTGATGACTTTAACATCCACATAATTCAGAACATCGGAAACCTTATCACCGAAACCATCAGTCAAACCCCAACCACTGATCCTCGCAGTTTCACCCTCGAAAGTGTTATCAGCATCAGCTTTGCTCGGCAAAGCCACAGCTTTGATAGCATCAGTGAATGTCACAGCTTCAGGAAGTTTGATAACAGCAATATCGTTGATGATAAGTTCGCCGTCGTATTTCTCGTGGACTTTGACTTCTTTGCTCACGATTTTGACTTGGGTGTCTTCGGCTTGGAGGGGTTTGTGGGCCCCGAGGGTGACATGGGCTTCGGTAGCATCGACTCCGCAGTGACCGGCAGTCAACACGTAGTTTGGCGAAATGAGGGAACCACCGCAGTACCAACCCTCACTTTCGGCGTAGACTTCGAGGAAGGTTTGGTAGGGGATGGAGTGAGGGATGGCTTCCTGGCCGCCGATGATTTTGGGGCTGGGGCGGTGTTTGATGGGGCCCACGGGGGGTTTGTACAAGTTGCGGTAGTGCAACTTAGTTGGCTAAATTTCAATTTATTAGGAAAATGAACAAAAATTGGGAAACTCACCTTTGGGGCTGCAGCAGCCAAAGCGGAGATGGCCAAAACAAGGATGAATACCTTCATGTTGAGTTCGGTTGATTTTTGATAAACTTTTCTCAAAGTTTCATACTTTTATACCTGCTAGTTTTTTTATCTCACCGGATGTAATGTTTTGAAAATTATTATCTTTAATTAGAAATTGAGTAGTACTATGCTGCATCCGTTATTGTTATTAAGTTAATCAATGGACTAAGGTTTATCACTAGATTTTGTACAATTCCTTGTCAATTATAATTAAGAAAAATAAGAAATATAATTCACAATTTTTCAAAGTTTTATTACAAATGTAATAACATCTTTATAATTGTTTGTAAATTATTTGTCAGGTAAAATGTATTTTTTATACAATTACAAAAAATATATTTACGATAACTAAATTGTAAAGCATTCTAAGAGAAATCTGTAGCAAGAATTTAGAGCACGGAAAATCAACTTGAAAAATTAGAGGAAATTATGAGAAAATCAAGTAAATCAAAATAAAAAAAAAATTGGTGTACGAATATCTCCAAAATGTGGGTTGCGGTTTTCGGAAAATCTTCGTGATGAGCTCAGAACTCAGCTTTAACATTAAAATCTTAAATGTTTTAATAAATTAAAACAATGACTGGTTAAAAAACAATTTTATTTAATTAGGGGTCATTTTTATATCATAATCTTTAATTCAAAAATTGTCATGGTAGGTTGCCATTAAATTTTTTTTTCAAAACTCGAAAACTAAATAAAAGAAATTTCGAAAAATTTTGTTCTTGACAAATGATCACATTTTTGTACATACTTTACAGTGCACTAATTATTTTTTGTGTAAAGTAATTAGTTTATGCAAAAAATGCTTGGTTCCATACTTTTCATTCACTCGATATATTTTGTGTATAAGTTTGTAATTTATATTTTTTTTTAATTTTTCTTATTTTTACACACCATTTCTTTATTTAATTTTATTAATTTACGACAAATTTTTCTCTTTTCTCTCTTTGTAGTATTTTCGTTTGGGACAAGAAATTCTATTCAAAATAAAAAAATAATAATCAATGTGGTTTATGTTTTTTTATTATTTAGATTAAGTACGTATTAGAGTAATACGTATAGGTACGTACACCACTCAAAAAATAGAAAAAAATCCTAAATTGTTTGATCTTAATCTTACTACAACTGTATGTCCTTGAGTCAACAATATCGAACGATCTTAAGTCTTAGTGTGATATCTGTTTTCTTAAAATTGCATCATAAAACTCTTTGCAACTTCTGTGTTAGTATTTATTTTTCCAACTTTCTACTATTCCATTTAAAAGTAACAAAGTTAATTACTAATTAATCACAGGTTGGATTTTTTTGAGACGTTTTTTGTTATTCATGTTACATTCTCTTCATTTTGCGTTCTTTGTAATGCAACTTTTAACAAATTTCTAGATTATAGAGTTTTAGAGAATATACCTATATAAAAAAGTCAAGGATTCTAATATATTAAAATCGGTTAAAACGTTGCGAATTCATTTATTGCTATTTTGCAAAATAGAAAAAAATAGATTTAACATTAACTAATTTTCTATATATTTGAAAATTGCGTAATTTCTAAACTGACAAATGTGAAAAATGTACACGTGTACAAACTGGGATTAGGATACTTCAAAAAGAAAGTGGCGTCTTTGCGATAATCCAGATTTTACGATTGTTATTACAAGAGTTTATATATTGTAATTTTTTAATTCTCAAAGAAATTAGTGTTTGTTTTCTATAATGGGTACAATATTTAGAATCAAGATGATTTGACTAATTTTAATGGTCACAGATATTCCAAATTTAGACTAATACAAACAAATATCCAAAATTACCTCTTGTTAAATTGGCAAGACGCAATTTCCGGCTGATAAAAAATTGGAACGATTAATTTGTATAGAATCGTCTTCCTTACAATTCCTCAAACTCTAATCTTGAGTACGAGATTAGTTAAAAAAATACCTATAAACCGTCTCGTGTGAGTACTTCAAAATCACTATAAAAGTATGAAATTTTCTGTTCAAACTATCACAATCCGAACTCAACATGAAGGTAATCGTCCTTGTTTTGGCCATCTTCGCTTTGGCTGCTGCAGTCCCAAAGGTGAGTTTCCCAATTTTTGTTCATTTTTCTAATAAATTGAAATTTAGCCAACTAAGTTGCACTATCGCAACTTGTACAAACCCCCCGTGGGCCCCATCAAACACCGCCCCATCCCCAGAATTATCAACGGCCAGGAAGCCACCCCTCACTCCATCCCCTACCAAACCTTCCTCGAGGTCTACGCCGAAAGTGAGGGTTGGTACTGCGGTGGTTCCCTCATTTCGCAAAACTACGTGTTGACTGCTGGTCATTGCGGAGTCGATGCTACTGAAGCCCATGTCACCCTCGGGGCCCACAAACCCCTCCAAGCCGAAGACACCCAAGTCAAAATCGTGAGCAAAGAAGTCAAAGTCCACGAGAAATACGACGGCGAACTTATCATCAACGATATTGCTGTTATCAAACTTCCTGAAGCTGTGACATTCACTGATGCTATCAAAGCTGTGGCTTTGCCGAGCAAAGCTGATGCTAATAACACTTTCGAGGGTGAAACTGCGAGGATCAGTGGTTGGGGTTTGACTGATGGTTTCGGTGATAAGCTTTCCGATGTTCTGAATTATGTGGATGTTAAAGTCATCAGTAATGATAAATGTGGAAAAGCTTTCGGTGAGCTTCAAGATTCGATCGTGTGCACGTCCGGTGATGAAAATACTGGATCCTGCAGTGGGGATTCTGGTGGTCCTCTTGCTATCAATGACACGCAAATTGGTGTTGTCTCTTTCGGGGTCATCTACTGCTTGCCTGGATACCCCTCAGCTTTCTCCAGAGTTACCAGCTTCTTGGACTGGATTGCAACTAACTCTGATGTTGTTATCAATTAATAAGTTATTCATTTTGTATTTATTTCAATTGAAATAAAGCTTTTTCTAAGAAGTTCTATTGTCTTAATAATAATTTCTAATATTTGAGTACCGTTGCGGAATTAAAATTTCGGGCAGTATTTTTCTGTCACTTTAAAAAGTTCACTGTAAACTACCTTTTACTGTCATCGTGACTGACATTCGACAATTAAACTTATTTTTTTGTTGTTAAAATTGTTAATGAAACAATTTGTCCGTCTTGGGAAATTTATTAATTGAACTTTAATCTGCTGCCTACCCGTTATTATGCTACAAATCACTATTTTTTAAAGTAAATAAATCAAAATGACATAAACATGACAAGAGTAAAAAATCAGATTATTAATGTAAATGTCGTTTTAGAGTTAACATTATGAAAATAACAATATTGCTCGAAATTTTAATTCGGCAACTGTACAATTTCTGTTAGAAGTATTAAAAAAGAAAAAAAAAAGAAAAAAAAAGAATGAAAAAAATTGTCGAAAAACTCGACATAAAATACACCAAAGGTAAAAAAATACTATAATACATATTTAAATGTTCTTAAGCCAAAGTTATAAGTAGGTAGAGTTCGGATTTTATGCAAATTGCATATTTATTATTTATAGGAATTTTTTTTTTTAATTTAGGATGTGTACAAAACACATATATGCGAATTTTGCATATTTTTAAGTTTTTGGGGGTTGTTGCATAATTTCGATATTTAGGGCATTTGATAATTTTACCAACATATTATAAATTCTGAGAAAGAAACTGGAGGTTTATTGCTTTATCGGACTATGCACCACCGACACTGGCGTTACCCCTGTCTTTTCAGAATTCAGTAATTCAGAATTAAGTAATTTTTTTAAAGCAAATAGGCTGAACCTGTAGTTGTAGTCACTCGCTGGGGTACATACATGGTTAGAGGCAACATTTTTTATGCCGACTATTTCCACAATGTTAAAAATATTACTTTAAATCTTCTGAATTAAAAATAAATTAAAAATTTATTTTATATAAGAAAAATAAGAGGATAATAATTAACATTTCTTAAGGCAAATTATACGTTTTTAAGTAAGCATATTACCTGAATAGAATCTAGCCAAATGTCCCTCTCTGAGGTAATTAATATTGTGAATATAAGTGAAACGCGAGATATTAGCGGATCATCGTCAAAAAATAATATATACAGGCTGTTCGGTCCAATTCGCCCCAGCCGATAACACCTAAACTTTTCAAAAACTAAGTTTTCAAATAATACATTCCTCGTTTTCTTAGTAAATGCATCAAATTTTTTTGGCGCATCCGGTGTAGCCGGAAATGCTTTCAAATGGGACACCTATATTTTTTTGCTCGAAACAATAATAATTGGCATGAAAAATACGGTAAACCACTATTTATTACATTTTACTTTACATAATGCACTCAAAAAACAATTTAAATTTTTGAATTTTATTGCAAATTTTGCAATGTAGGCGGATTTTACTTGTCAAGGTATTCATGCAAAAAACAATATGCTTGGATACCGTTTAATTGTTAGTTTGACAAAGCATAATTTGTCAATCAATTTAATTGAGATCTTTAATAATGGATGATATTAATTACGACGAATTGGTAGATCAGCTTGAAGTGTTTTTAAGTGCAATAAAAACAGAGCGGAAGCTGAAAGACGGTATAGAGAAAAATACTCAATTAGAGTTCACCCAAATCGTTGGAAATTTAGTCGAATTGAAAAACAATTGAGACGAATAGGTTTGGTTCTTAAAACTAAAAAACCTGTGGTTGAAGAACAAAAAAATAGAAATTTGAATATTCTGTTATCAGTCGAAGAAAATTGAAGAGTTTCCATAAGAGAACTCGCTCATTAACTGACAAATTAGATTTGTCAAACCAAAAATAAAACTGTACCCAAGCATTTTTTCCTTTAAAATTAATAATCAGGCTACGCGACCAATTTCCTTATAAAATTCTAAGATTTAAGATATTTTTGGATAGCATTGTGTTACGCAAAATGTAATAAATAGTGGTTTACAGTATTTTTCATATCAATTATTATTGTTTGAAGGAAAAAAAACATAGGTATTCCATTTGAAAAACTGAATTTGGTAGCATTTCCGGCAACACCGGATGTGCTAAAAAAATTGGTACATTTACTAAAAAAGTCAAGAATGAATATTATTCCTTAAATATTTACTTTTTGAAAAAAAGAAGTAAGTTTAGGCGTTATCAGCCGGGGCGGCTTGGACCAAACACCCTGTATAAATAAAAAAACATGCCATTACGATGACAACTAATTTATAAAAATTTATAAAATGCATAAGTATATCTTTGTAAAACAATAAATAAAAAACCGTTTTTATTTAAGAAAAAAAAATATTAGAATTGTAATCTCAAAAGTTTAAACAATTAATTAAAATAAAAAATATTTTGGCATCGCTCCCTTACAACCTTTAAATATTTATTAATTTATTTCCAAAAAATCTGGTAGTTTACTCAAAAAAATTCTTTAATTCTTGTAAGTCAAACACTTTTTTAACAAAAAAGTTTGAGGTTTACAAAAAAAAATTTTTGCACAGCAACAATTCTTGTAACAAACTTGTTGTCTACAAAAAAAAATGTGGTAGGTTTCCCTTAAAAAAAATTGACTATGATTATCTCCTAAGTATAAACAATTAATTAATATTCATTTTTTTTTATAGCATTTTTATAGCCATTGCACACCTATAAATTTATTTGCCAAAAAATTGATAGTTTCGCTAGAATAAAATCGTTTCCAGACTTCTGAACCACCCGATATATGCCTATATTTTCAGTAATTTCACTGCATAAAAATCTGAACTCTAGTTATAAGATAAGCAATCTAGCTGTCTTGGTCAAAAATCATACTTAGATTACCTTCGTTACAAACGTAATGATAAAATATACTTTGTCCAATATAATTATGAATAAGTCATGATAAGAAATTAAATTGCAAAAACCAACAAATTTAATTCACAGTTTTTTAATTAAATATAAACATTTTAAATAGTTTACTTGTGTTTTAGTTAATTTTGAGCACCTCAGTAGATATAAGAGCTTAAAAAAACTTGGACTTATACGTGCTTATACCTACTGAGGTGCTTGAAATTAAGTAAACCTAACAAACTATTTGAAACGTTTACATTTAATTAAAAAACTGAGAATTAGATTTGTTGGCTTTTGCCAATAAGCAATTCAATTGCTTATTATCATGCTTATTCATAATTACATTGGACGAAGATAATTTTATCATTACGTTTATATCAAAGGTAATCTAAGTATGACTTTTTGAGGAGTTGACGAGAAAGTAAAAACTTAAATGCAATGTAGGTAATATCACTTCATTAATACATACCAAAATCTTTCAAAAAAAATATGTACAGAATAAATTTATTGAATTCTGCTAATTTTTTGGTACTATATTTTTCACCATAGTAATTTTTATAACATACAATGTTATTTCTTATTTTTTTACTTTTGGTGTGTTTTATGTCGTATTTTTAAACTTTTTTTTTTCACAAATTGATAGTTGGACTTTTGGGAAAAAGCTTTATTTTCATAGAAATAGATCCAAAATTAATAATTTAGTTGATAACAACATCAGAGTTAGCTGCGATCCAGTCCAAGAAGCTGGTAACTCTCGTGAAAGCTGAGGGGTATCCAGGCATGCAGAAGATGACTCCAAAAGAAACAACACCAATTTGCTTATCATTGATAGCAAGAGGACCACCTGAATCCCCACTGCAAGATCCAGAGTTTTCATCTCCGGACGTGCACACGATCGAATCTTCAAGATCACCAAAAGTTTCTCCACATTTGGTATTGTTGATGACTTTAACATCCACATAATTCAGAACATCGGAAAGCTTATTATACCCGAAACCAGTAGTATAACCCCAACCACTGATCCTCGCAGTTTCACCCTCGAAAGTCTTGATAGCATCAGCTTTGCTTGGCAAAGCCACCGCTTTGATAGCATTAGTGAAAATCGCAGGTTCAGAAAGTTTGATAACAGCAATATCGTTGATGATAAGGTCGCCGTCGTATTTCTCGTGAACTGTGACTTCTTTGCTCGTGATTATGATTTGGGAGTCTTCGTCTTGGAAGGGTGTGTGGGCCCCCAGGATGACACTGACTTCGGTAGCATTGACTCCGCAGTGACCGGCAGTCAACACGTAATTTTGCGAAATGAGGGAACCACCGCAGTACCAACCGATATTTCCGGCGTAGAGTTCGAGAAAGGCTTGGTAGGGGATGGAGTGAGGGGTGGCTTCCTGGCCGCCGGTGATTCTGAGGCTGGGGCGGTGTGTGATGGGGCCCACGGGGGGTTTGTACAAGTTGCGGTAGTGCAACTTGGTTGGCTAAATTTCAATTTATTAGGAAAATAATAATTAAAGTGTGGGAAACTCACTTTTGGGGCTGCAGCAGCCAAAGCGGCGATGGCCAAAACAAGAACGATTACCTTCATGGTGAGTTCGAGTTGTGATAGTACGAACCGAAAATTTCTGATTTTTATTGTGATTTTGAAGTACTTTCACGAGATGGTTTAATGATATTTTGTTAACTAATCTCGTACTCAAGATTAGAGGTTTAGGAATTTTAAGGAAGACGATTTTATGCAAATTAATCGTTCTAATTTTTTATTAGCCGGAAATTGCGTCTTGCCAATTTAGCAGAAGGTAATTTTGGCTTATTTTTTGTCATTGATTTAAATTAGTCTAAATTTGAAATACCCGTGACCGACAAAATTAGTCAAATCACACTGTGGTATCTATAGAAAGATAATATTATTTTGCGTCAAATGATTCAAGAAATAAGAATAAAAATGGTATTTTTCCTTTACATACAATTGTCATATTTATCAATATGTGAAGTAGTAGTACTTGTCAAAAACGTATTTGATTTTCTTTGTTATTTCATACTTTTTCTTGTTTTTAATAAAAACCAATTTAATTCCTGATTACCACGTTGATTGCTTAGATATCCCTTCATTTTATTATCAAAAAAATTGGCATTCAACATTACTTTCCTATGTTCGAGTTGAAGACCGAAAACTCGGTATGTATTTAAAATTAGAAAAATTCAATATAGCTGAGAACATTTTGTATTTCATAATATTTTGCTGTAATACTTTTTTTTATCATGTAATGTCTCAGCCGTAGATATCAAAAACTTCATAGCGAGAACCGCAACCCACATTTTGGAAATCTTTGTACACCAATTTTCCTTTTTACTTTGATTTCTTTTGATTTACTTAATTTCCTTCTAATTTCCCTTACTTTTTCAAATTGATTTTCCGTGACCTAAATTTTTACTACAGATTTCTCTTAGATTACTTTTCAATTTTAGTTATCATATACAGAGTGGAATTTTTAACTGGAATAAAATTCATAATTTGAATATAAGCGATATTTGTAAAAAATCCTGAAACAGATTAATTTTTATTTTTCCTTGTCCAACTTTTGACACATATGGTTTTTGTTTATCTGATGCTTTCTGAAATGCACAGCCAACTATAACTTTTTTTTTCAAATGGTCGAAAGTTTGACATTTATTTTTTGACATTTGACATTTTTCATGTCTATTTAATGATACTGATGATCTGGTATATAATTATTTTGTAAATGTACAACAATTTTGCCAATAAAAAACTACAAATAAAATTAAACACAGTTACAATTTAGAATACAGCTTCCTTGTTTTCTCTTCTAATAACCTATATCAAAAAACTGGAAAGTTATTTTTCCAACTGAAATAAATGAAGTCAAAGTGCAAAATTTAAACTTATAACTTCGAATTTTTTATAGATAGAACTTTTTTAACATTTTTTCCATGTTCCTGGTATCATACCTTACCATTTTTCTCTAGGGCGCGAGTTTTGGCGCACCCTATATTTCATTTTGTTTAAAATGTATTTACGGTTGAAAACTCTAGTTTAAATATTAGACGTTTTTTTAAATAAAATTGGCCCACTTCGAAAATAAACTAAGGGCCAGTTTCATAATCGAATTAAAGGGACTTTAAAGTTAATGTTGTTTTAGAATGTGCTGATAACTACGGACTTGTTGACAAAAACTCCACATTCTAAACCAACATTAATTTTAAAGTCCCTTTAATTCGATTATGAAACTGGCCCTAAGTATTTTGATTTCATTAAAAAAACGAAAACTTTTGTAACTTTTGTTCAAATTTATTTTTTCCGCACAAGTAGCTATAACACAGTTTCTTTTATAAATTAAGTGTACTTAATTTTTATAAATTTAGAAATAATCGTACTTACTTACTTTAATAAGACACTGTATTTATTTGTTAGTTATTGTTTTCTGTTTTTATGTAAGCATTAAAAAATATATTTAAATTACTAATCCCGTAATTTCGCCATTTTTAACTGCGAAATAAAAAAATAAAATTTAAATTTCCTTTGACTCTAGTGTAAAAAAAACAGTAAAATTGACATTTTTTAAACAAACAGAAAATTTACTCAATTCTGAATTACATACACCGTCGTGTCTTCGACTAAATTCCCTATGAGAGGGGTTTGGAATTTCTCGATTTAAAATTGGCAATACTGGAAAATAAAATGACAAAGATTGAAAATCTGACATGCCTCTGATCTTCTATCATTTTTTTCAATTACAGACTAGATTCAATTACTATAGATTTTTTTTATAGTAATAATCGGGGATTCCCATTGGGCGGCATTGACAGGAAGAAAACCAAGATTAATATAATTTTTAAAAATCAAGAGTAAAATTTTTAATTTAAAAGCTTTACCCCATCTGCTACCAATTTTTAAAGAAATTTTAGTCAAGTGTGGAAAAACATTGTTTAAAATACATATTTGCTGCAATTTACAAAATAAAAAAAGGAAAATTTTGTGAATCTTCAACATTGAAAATAACTACACAAAATTCTAAGATTTAATTTGATTGTTTCTAAAATATAATTATTTTAGTTTTATTACCACTACAAAATAAT